CTAAATTTTTTTGTATTTAGTAGGGATAGGGTTTCACCATGTTGGCCAGACTGGTCTTGAACTCCTGACTTCAGGTGATCCACCTGCCTCGGCCTCCCAAAGTGCTAGGATTACAGATGTAAGCCAATGCACCCAGCTTGAAATTTCTTAAAGTTGCAAAAAAGTTACCAGAATATTCCATATACCACAAGAGGAAAATTGCTCCTCAACCTACTCAGTTGAGCAGCAAACAGAGTAGAGAGCAGGTGCCTATAACAACAAACTGCCTAAAGCAGTTTTGCACATATCATCCCACTCAAGGATCTGCTAAAAATGGTAAGGCACAGAGGCAGGTACTAACGGGACACGAAGTAACAGAAGGCAGTCACACAGACACTAAACTAAACAAGTTACGAATAAATGAGAGTCACTGAATACCTCATTAACTGGATTTAGCTGGATTTTGAGGAGTGAACAGAATAGGAATAGTGTGAAAGGAGGAATACAATCCAGGCGAAGAGTTAATAAGCAACAGCCAAAGATCGGAAATAAACCAAGTCTGTGTTGAAATATGGATTCCAGTAGAGTCATGAGTGGAATTGTTGTAGAAAATTCATTCTTCAATTTGCATAATGCCTAGGTTTTAGGAATACAAAAATATAAGGTACTATAGTATGTCTTCAACGTGCTCACAAAGAGCTGGCGGCAGTGGCTCATGACTACAATCTCAAGACTTTGAAAGGCTGAAGCAGGAGGATCGCTTGAGTCCAGGAATTAAGAGGCTGCAGTGAGCCATGATCAAGCCACTGTATTCCAGCCTGGGTGACAAAGTGAGACCCTGCCTCAGAAAACAAACTAAAAACCAAAGTGCTCACAAAGTAGTGGAGAAGGTACAGCCAAAATACATTAAAGATATACACAAAATGCTTTAATAACAGAGAAAGGAGTGATTAATTTACCAGAGGAAAGAGATTGTCAGTAAATTTCAACAAAGATAGTTGAGTTAATGTTAAAAACTGAAAATGATGTCGCCAATTAAATTAATCACAGAAAGAAAAAAAATGTTAATATTTAAGGAATGCCTACTATATATGAGGCACTTTTTTACCTTTAGGTTTTATAGTTAACATTCTTATACAAAGAAACTGAAGCTTAGAGAGTTTAATTAACTGACACAACATAAAAAAGGTTGTTAATGGTGAGCCTGGCATTCAAATCTAGGGCCTTTTGCTGCTGAAACCCACGCATGCCCTTTCCAATACTACCTAGCTGTGGGAATTTATAAGCACGCAAATCATGACTATAAGGTACAACACAACTTTAGAAAGTCAGTCATTACCAGAAAATTCGTAAAATGTTTAGGGGCCAGGCAGGATGAGAGTAGCACTGCTCAGATTTTCCAATACGCTGAAGAGCTTCAGTCTCTACGACTAATGTAAATGGTTTGAAATGGGGAGATAAATGTTACCAAAGAAAAATCATTTTCAGCAGAGCTCAGTGGTTCACTTCTGTAATCCCAGCACTTTGGGAGGCCCAGGCAGGTGGATCACTTGAGGTCAGGAGTTTGGGACCAGCCTGGCCAACATGGTGAAACTCCGTCTCTACCAAAAAATACAAAAATTGGCCAGGTGCAGTGGCTCACGCCTGTAATCCCAGCACTTTGGGAGACAGAGGAGGGCGTATCACGAGGTCAAGAGATCCAGACCATCCAGGCCAACATGGTGAAACCCCGTCTCTACTAAAAATACAAAAAATTAGCTCGGCATGGTGATTCGTGCCTGTAGTCCCAGCTATTCGGGAGGCTAAGGCAGGAGAATCGCCTGAACCCGGGAGACAGAGGTTGCAGTGAGCTGAGATCACACCACTGCACTCCAACCTGGCGACGGAGTGAGACTCTGTCACAGGAAAAAAATAAAAAAAATTAGCCGGGTGTGGTAGCACATGCCTGTAGTCCCAGTTACTCGAGAGGCTGAGACAGGAGAATCCCTTGAAGCAGGCTGCTGTGAGCCAAGATCGCACCACTGCACCCAGCCTGGACGAAGGAGCGACTCAGTCTCAAAAAAAGAAAGAAAGAAAGAAAGAAAAATCATTTTCACACAGAAAAGCTTTGAACCTAAATCACTGCTAGAGACAAAATATTTTTAAGTATTAAAACTATGGTCAGTTGGTCGAGCGTGACGGCTCACTCCTGTAGTCCCAACACTAGTAGGCAGAGGCTGGTAGATCACTTGAGCCCAAAACTTCGGGCTCGCGACCAGTCCCTACAAAAAAATACAGATAAGGGGGGCATGTTGGCAGTGCCTGGTAGTCCCAGCCGCTAGGAGGCTGAGGTGTGAGAATTGCTAGAGCTAGGGAAATCGGGATGTCAGTGAGCCGAGGTCGCGTCACAGCTCTCCAGCAAGAGTGATGGAGCTAGACCTTCCTTAAAAGCAAAACACACACACACAAAAACCTAGGGCAGGCAGCAAGCTTGTCACACATTGTAGCTTGTCACACACTGTAGCAACAGAGAAACTTTCACCATCCCAACAAAACAGTTAACATCTCTTACCAAGTTTCAACAGAAATAAAATTTTTGGAATAATGTACAGAAACCTAGTACAATCTGGAATCCATGCTTAACAACTTACCAGTTTATGACAAGTAAACATACTTTGATAATTTACAGGCTCCAACTAAATACTTTACCTAAAAACACTTGTAAAATTCCAAACTTGTTGCTAAACAACCTCAAAAGAATTACAGAAACATGGCCGGGCGCGGTGGCTCACACCTGTAATCCCACCACTTTGGGAGGCCGAGGCTGGCGGATCACGAGGTCAGGAGATCGAGACCATCCTGGCTAACACGGTGAAACCCCGTCTCTACTAAAAATACAAACAATTAGCTCGGCGCGGTGGCGGGCGCCTATAGTCCCACCTACTGGGGAGGCTGAGGCAGGAGAATGGCGTGAACCCGGGAGGTGGAGCTTGCCGTGAGCTGAGATCGCGCCACCGCACTCTAGCCTGGGTGACAGAGCGAGACTCTTGTCTCAAATAAAAATAAAAAAAAAAAAAATTTACACAAATACATTTATAAGTGAAAAATTTTCACCAATATCTTCGTCGTAATCGTAAAGCTTTACTGTAACCTTACTATCCCATTCTGAAACATGAAGCAGTTCCTTCAGCCATAATCAAATAACATTCCCCCCGCAAAGTAATGGCAAAAGTATATGAACTTATTATTTAGCAAAGAGAGCTCTGAATAAATACCTTAAGTGCTTAGTAAAAATATAATTAAAGCCTTATGTCAACATCAACATAAAACCGTGATGGCAAAATCTGTTTAGTATTTTTCCCCAACCAAAGAAAATTATCCAAGTTAAGTCATCAGCTTCACAGATAAAGATTTTTGTCTAAAGCATTGTAATATATATAAGCCAAAATCTTTTTTTTTTTTTTTTTTTTGAGACGGAGTCTTTCTCTGTCGCCCAGGCTGGAGTGCAATGGCGCGATCTTGGCTCACTGCAACCTCTGCCTCCTGGGTTCCAGCGATTCTCTTGCCTCAGCCTCCCGAGTAGCTGGGATTACAGGCGCCCGCCACCACGCCCGGCTAATTTTTGTATTTTTAGTAGAGACGGGGTTCCGCCATGTTGGTCAGGCTGGTCTCGAACTCCTGACCTCAGGTGATCCGCCCACCTTGGCCCCCTAAAGTGCTGGGATTACAGGCGTGAGCCACCGCGCCCGGCCATAAGCCAACTTTCTACCAAAATTCTTCCCAGGAGTACAGGAAAGACAAGTTAAAATTTCTCCCCAAGTTTCAAGAAGATAGTCTAAATATGGAACTTCAAGTCTCAGCAAAAACTCAAATCTATGCAATATTTTATCTTCTTCTGGTCAAGGAGACAAAAAACGCAAAAGTATCTTACAGTAATAAAAAATGGGTCAAATGCAATTAAGGCGAGGAAAAGAAAAATGCCACAAGAGGTACAACTAGCATAACTGTCACTAAAAGGTTTGAATTAAGTAGGTTTACCACTGCACCACGTTCACAGGCTATATATGTACATATATATATACACACACACACACACATATATATGTATATACAGCGTGCATCAGCTCTCCAGAGTGTACTTAAAAAGTAAACTCCACGCTCCCCAGAGTTGTTCCTTTCAGTGCAGGAGTTTTGTTCATATTCTAATGTCTTCCAAAGCTCCTGAACAGTCAACTTAAGGTCATGTGTGTAGAAACTACTTTAAAACATTCTTGACAGGCTTTCTACGAGTAGCCCGTATTTTTCTGATTTGATTTAAATAGATCCAATTACGGAATTCCCTACCGACCTGCCACCGCTGCCGCCGCCGCCGCCTCCTTACTCCGGAAGGGGCCACTAATCCCAAGGGTTACAACCAAGTACAAACATTCATTGTCATTTCTTTTAAGAGGGCATGCTAAGATCCTCACTACTTAGTTGCCGGAAGACAACTTAAAATTGGAAACAGGGATCTAGCACAAACCAAATAGAAATACAACTACTCCAAAAAAGCAGGGCTTTGCCTGTCAAGCTGTAGCCTCATCCTTATTATAAACACCGATTTCAAGCCACGATAACATCACGGCTAAGCCTTCAGCTGTTTCGCAGATTTCACGTTAACTTCCCAGGACCCTTTCAACCAACCACTTCAACTCGGCCCACCTCCTTCCACTCCCGCCCCAAACCTCAGTTAAAATGCATTTCCCTCCAAACTTCACGTCTTAACCGTGGCCTGACTTACGTCTTCTCGTCGCCACCGCTTCCAGTCAGGGCCTTAGTTCTACCATGCCCGCTTTTCCCAGTTGGCCTCCGGCCTCCAGCCCCCTCCCATAAGGCTCAAACCTGCCTCGACGAGCCGCCCCGAGGTCGATCCTCCCAGTTCCTCCAACCTTTGCCCAGGCGCCCGTCCAGGCCCCCAAAGCACGCAACGGCCGAGCCTGAAAATGGCGGAGAGTGCCGCTGCCTGCTGCAGGCGAGCAGTCCCGTGTCCCCGCCGCACTCACCGTCTGGCTTTGAGCAGAGCTCCTAACGGCCAGCGAAGCGTTCGTCTTCAGAGCCGGGAATGTCTCTCCTGTCTGGTCTCCCCACTCCGATCCTCTCAATCCCGCTCCTCCAAAGGAGCAGCCGCCATCTTCCCCTATGAGCCACAGAACGCACGCTCTGGGGTCATCACGCACCGGCGGACGGCGCTACGTCACGCGCGCCTGGGCCGCGGGCCTCCGTAAGGCTCGATCTGCGCATGTGCATAGGTGAGGGGCCGGGCCGCTAGACTCTGCCGAGCTCGTCCTTTGTTTCGGAGCGAGGAGGGCTGCGCTGCCTCCTGGATGGGGGAAGCGATTGCGTTTCGCAGGGCTGACTTTTTTTACAGTGTGACCTAACCTGGATGCTCTGAAAAACACCCCGTTTTCCAGTATGTGAAAGAGTATATTTGTACGGGGCCGGTGCGGCAGAGAGAGCGGGTCGTTGGACCGAGCCCACCGAGAGTGGATCTGTGGGAAGCCCCCGTGGGACCTTGCTGAGTCTGGTCACTCGTACAGCTGGTGGCAGCCCTGGCAGATCCCGGCACGCAGTCAGGCTCCACGCCTTACCTGATCCAGTTGTGCCTCTAGATTACGCCTCGTTTAAAGTCGAGCGACCAAGATAGAAAAACAGCCCCACGGTGCAACCACTTTGGAAAAACGCTGCAGTTTCTGCTAAAGCTGAGTGTACGCTTACCTTGTGACCCAGAAATTTCACTTCAAGAGGAATGAGTGAGTGCATACGTCCACCAAAGGCATGTGCAAGAATGTCCATAGAGCCGGGCGCGGTGGCTCACGCCTGTAATCCCAGCACTTTGGGAGGCCGAGGCAGGTGGATCACCTGAGGTCGGGAGTTCAAGACCAGCCTGGCCAACATGGAGAAACCCCGTCTCTACTAAAAATACAAAATCAGCCGGGGTGGTGGCGCATGCCTGTAATCCCAGCTACTCGGGAGGCTGAGGCAGGAGAATCGCTTGAACCCGGGAGGCGGAGGTTCGGTGAGCCGAGATCGCGCCATTGCACTCCAGCCTAGGCAAAAGGAGCGAAACTGTCTCAAAAAAAAAAAAAAAAAGAATGTCCATAGAACGTTTATTCGTAGTAATAAAAAACTGGTAACCCAAATGCCCATCAGCAGTTGAGTGGCTAAATTATGGTATAGTCGTGCGGTAGATTTCTACAGAGCAATAGGAAGTTATGGATAAACGCAACAGCCTGAACGAATATCAAATATTGTTAACTCAGGCACAAAGAGGAGGACGCTGTATGATTCCATTTTGATGAGGTTCAAAATATAATTGCACAGCAAGTTGTTCTCCAATGTGGATCAAGAATCGTACCAGCCTAGGGAACATGGCGCGACCCCATCTTTACGCGTCGTGGTGCGTTCCTGTGACCGCGTTCCTGTGATCGTTCCTGTGATGGGTGCTTGGGAAGCTGAGGTGGGAGGATCACTTGAGCCCAGGAGTTGGCAGGTGCAGTGAGCCAAGATCGCACCAGTGCACTTCAGTCTGGGCAAAAGAGTAAGACCTGTCTCAAAGAAGTCTTACTTTTGACTCCATAATCCCCTTCCAAAAATCGGTTCTAAGGATAGCCTCAGAAATCTGAATCAGATTAGTGTACTAATCTTTGAGGTATCAATGATAGCCAAAAAAAAAGGAAACACAGAAGCAGACAATGATTAAATAATGGCACATCCATACATAGACTATCATGCAGACATTACACAGTATCTAAAGTTTTTATGATGACATCAGAAATGTTTATAATCTTCTATATTTTTTCTTTTTTTTAAAGACAAGGTCTCTCTGTCCCCCAGGGTGATCATAACTCACTGCAGCCTCAACCTCCCAGGTTCAAGTGATTCTCTCATCTCAGCCTCCCTAGTAGCTCGGACTAATGGCCTGGGCCAGGACACCCATACCCAGCTAATTTTAGTAGAGACAAGATCTCATTATGTTGCCCAAGCTGGTCTCAAACTCCTGGGTTCAAGCAGTCCTCCTGCCTCAGCCTCCCAAAGTGCTGCGATTACAGGCCATGCACCACCACCCCCAGCCTGTATAATCTTATTTTGATATGTATCTAGAAATATGTAAGGAGGCTGGACAATTCCAGTTCTGTGTGATAAGTTTAGGATAGGATGGAAGGAACCCATAGACACCCTGAGTACAAGGCAGGAAAGCCAGGATAGAAGGCAGGATTCTCATGGGCTGAAGGTAGGGAGTGGGGTCAGGAAGGTAACCCTAAGAAGTCCCCTCATAAGTTGGGTTTTGAAGGTTAGAGAGAAAAGACAAGCAAGTGGTCAGTTCCTAGAAATTATACTGGGAGTGGTAGAGGAAGCATTCAGGCAGTGTCCTGATCCCTGAAAATCTTTAAAATGTGCTGAATTGGAGGGGCAGCCTAATCAAGGGCAAAAATCCTTCACACCTGTAACCTCACAGGCCCCTTCCTGGAAAATTGTTTTTTAAATTGATGAGGAGACAGATGAACCTGTTAAGTATACTGCAAGGATGCAATCAGCCATATTCTATATTGTACAAAATTTTACATGTGATACATTTTCTTCCAGAAAATATTTAAAAACTGAGGAAAGAAACTGTTAGAGATTCTCTGTTATAGGTTAGAGACTTAAGAGGCATATCAACCAAATGCAATGTGTACTCCCTGTTTGGATCCCAATTGAACAAACTGGGGGGAAAAAGACATTTTTGAGAAAATACGGACATTTGAACATAGACTGGGTGGGTATTAGATGACATTAAAGAATTTTAAAATTTATTATATGTAACAACTACATTTTCATTAATTTTTTTTTTTGAGACAGAGTCTTGCTTCTGTTGCCCAGGCTAGATACTGTGTAATGTCTGCATGATAGTCTATGTATGGATGTGCCATTATTTAATCATTGTCTGCTACTGTGTTTCCTTTTTTTTGCTATCTGGATTTGCAGTGGTGTGATCTCGGCTCACTGCAACCCCGCCTCCCAGGTTCAAGCAATATCTTCTGCCTCATCCTCACGAGTAGTTGGGATTTCAGGCTTGCACTACCACACCTGGCTAATGTTTGTATTTTTAGTAGAGATGGGGTTTCACCATCTTGGCCAGGCTGGTCTTGAATTCCTCACCTTGTGATCCACCCGCCTCCGCCTCCCAAAGTGCTGGGATTACAGGCGTGAGCCACCACGCCCGGCCTTTTTGTTAATTTTTTAAAATCTTTACCTGTTGGCCGGGCATGGTGGCTCAACCTGTAATCCCAGCACTTTGGGAGGCTGAGATGGGCGGATCACCTGAGGTCAGGATTTCAAGACCAACCTGGTCAACGTGGTGAAACCCCATCTCTACTAAAAATACGAAAAAAAAAACAAAAAACAGCTGGGCATGGTGGTGGGCGCCTGTAATCCCAGCTACTCAGGAGGCTGAGGCAGGAGAATCACTTGAACCACAGAAGCGGAAGTTGCAGTGAGCCAAGATTGTGTCACTTCATTCCGGCCTGGGCAACACAGCAAGACTCTATCTCAAAAAATAAATAAATAAATAAATAAATAAATAAAATCTTTACCTGTCATGTCCTGAAGTATGTGTGAGTTAAATTATATGATGTCTGGAATTGGCTTTAAGTGATTCCAGCCAAGCACATCAGCAGAAATGGTTGAGTAAGAACATCTGAAAATCGTCTTCTCCCTAAAAGCCACAAAACACTGGCAAAATTTTGTCAAAATCAACTTTTTCAGTTTTCAGAGTGCTGGAAATTAACCAAGGTCTTTCAACAAGATAAGGATTATTTATTCAAGAAAAAAAATGGCTAAATCTCCACTAAGTTACCAGGGAGGAGAGAGGGCAATCGACACAAGATTGGCTAAGTGATAGGTAAATAACACTTCACTATCCTGATTTATTTATTTACTTCTTTGTTTAGGCACATAGCATCTCCCTATGTTGCCCAGGCTGACCTTGAACTCCTGGCCTCAAGTGATCCTCCCATTTGAGCCTTCCAACTAGCTGGGACTATAGGGGTGCACCCCCATACCTGGTTAATTTTCTCAATTTTTTTGTAGAGGTGAGGTCTCACTATGTTACCTATGCTGATTTTGAACTCCTATCCTTAAGTGATCCTCCCACCTCGGCCTCTCAAAACACTAGTATTACTGGCATTAGCCAGAGCACCCAGCCACTATCGTCTTCACACATACATAAAAATATTATATACGAATACATTTTTCCTACACAAATAGGATACTATCCAAACTGTATTCTTTTGGCAATATATCTTGGCACCCTTCCTTCTCAGTTCACATGTAGACATATCTTTGTTCTTTTTAACAGCTTCTCAGGCCCGAAGCGGGGGCTCATGCCTGTAATCCCAGGACTTTGGGAGGCCGAGGTGGGAGGATCACTTGAGCTCAGGAAATCAAAACCAGCTAATACAAATAATGCTGCGATCACCATCCCTGTGCATTCTTTACATGTAAATACAGCTGAATATGCCACCTCCCACTGGATTAGCATAGACTCTTTCTACATATCCTGTTCTCATCATCTCTGCATAATACAGCTTTCTCCCCGCTTTTCAGAGGTAGAGAAAGCGAGCCTGCTAACAAAAAAATCAGAAACAAACTATGCCAGGTGCAGTGGCTTATGCCTGTAATCCTAACACTTTGGGAGGCCGAGGCGAGCAGATCAACTAAGGTCAGGAGTTCGAGACCAGCCTGGCCAGCATATGGTGAAACCCCAACTCTACTAAAAAATACAAAAATTAGCCGGGCATGGTGGTGCATGCCTGTAGTCCCAGTTACTTGGGAAGCTGAGGCAGAAGAATTACTTGAACCCAGGAGACAGAGGTTGCAGTGAGCCGAGATCGTACCACTGTACTCCAGCCTGAGTGACAGAGCAAGACTTTGTCCCAAAAAAAAAAAAGAAAAAACTAAAGCAACTAAAGAGTCTGAATTGTGCAGCACACCAACATGGCACAAGTATACATATGTAACAAACCTGCACGTTATGCACATGTACCCTACAACTTAAAGTATAATAATAATAATAAAAAATAAAGAGTCTGAATTAAAGACCAAAGAAGACATTACATAGAGTTTCTTTAAAAATGCATTTCAGATACTTCAAGAAAACAAAAAATGCATATTAGAATACTGCATAGACAACTACA